GGATTGCGGCGTGACCATCCCCCCTGGGGGGTGATTTCTCGCTTTCTGTCTCTATGTCTCTCTCTGTCTGTCTGGCGAGTGCATGTGCCCTATAGTGAAAAACCTCTCAAAAAAAAAAAAAAAGTTTGTTATTGTACATACTAATGGTTAAGTTTTTAACAAATTGAACTAATTCATATATGTTAATTTTTTCTAGGTTGATTTATATCAATTACAAGTAAATACACTTAGGAGATACAAAAGACACTTCAAGCTACCAACCAGACCAGGACTTAATAAAGCACAGCTTGTTGAGGTATATATGAATTGTAAATTATTTAAATTTTAAATTAGCCTATTCACACACAGGGTCATTAGATGCTAGTGAAATTATTAATGTAGTATATATTATAATGCATGTTAGTTAGAAAGATAAAAGTTAATAAAAGCATCTATTGTCTCAAATTGTTTACCACCTAGGCAATTTCTTTATGTAATCACTAGTCAATACATTGTGTATAGTTTTCTGACCATCTTCCTACTGGCTCTCAAAATATTGAAGAACTGTTATAGTCATTCTAGAAATCTGTTAGTTTAAAAATTTCACTTAGGGGCCAGCAGGTGCCATAGAGGTTAAAGTGGTTGGATCCCACATAGCCACTGGGCAGTTGGAGTCCCAGACCTGGAGGCTTGAAAATCACATATGACAATTGTGCATGCATGCCTAAAATCCCAAGAGAAGGGAGGAGAAGGGATTGTGGTGTGGCTGTACCCCAGGGATTGATTTCTCACACATACTCCTTATCTCTCTCCTACGATTACATGCTCTATAGCAAAACTAAAAAAAATAATTTAAAAAATATTTAAATTTTAAAAATTAAAAGTAAAGATAAAAATAGGAGTCAGCAAGTGGTGTGGTGGTTAAAGTGCTGGACTCCTACATGACTGACCACAGTTCAAGTCCTGGACGTGGCAGCTTGAAAATCACTCTTGGCACATATGTGTGCATGCCCAAAATCATGAGAGGAGAATGGAGGAGAAGGGAATGTGGTATGGCTGTCCCTCCTGGTGGGTGATTTTTCACTTTCTCTCCTGCTGTTTCTCCCCGTCTCTCTCTGGCAAGCGCATGCACTCTATGACAAAAACCTAATTCATTAATTAAAAATAAAATTCCATTTAACTAGAAAACATTTATTGAACTCTCAACCTGAGGCATAATAAAATAAATTAATAAGTTTTAATGTTTTTATTAGAATTTAGTTTTAGAGTTTCTATTAGAACAGATCTATTACCATCATTTACTGATTTATTATTTCAAAATCTGTCTTTGTTGATATTCATTTGTTTTATTAGAAGAATTCTTGTCATCTTCACATTTATAAAAGGCAAAGACTTTTTTCCAAGTTTTTACTTGTAGTTTGCTTTGATATATGACTTCTAGTCTTCAATAAGCTCTGAAAAGTTGACTATGTTTATGTGTGCTCTAGAAGTAATAGAACCAAGGAATCTGTACATCTTACTAAGATGTTTACAGATTTACATATTTATACATTAGTCATATTTAAAACTAAAAACTTTAACCTGCTAGAGAAAATGGAAATGTAAATATAGGGCCTACTCCATGGCCTGCTGGTTAGGGCAGCTAAACCCCACATGGCCAACCCCACAGTTCAAGCCCTAGATCCAGCAGCTTGAAAAACACACCAGACGTATGTGTGTATGTGCCCAAAATCCTGTAAGGAAGGGGGAGAAGGAGGAAAAATTATTGTGACTTGACCATGTACCATAGGCATGCTTCTTCTTTCCCCCTCTCTCTCTCTGGTGAGTCTACACCACACCCTTTAGCAAAAAAAGAAAAACTATATATAAATATATAAACGAATTTTGTAGTATTCCTCTATTTGAATTTGGTTATTTAACAACATTTTCTAAAATGTGCATATTGAATAAAAGATGACTATAAATTACAAATTTTTTGCAGAATTACTTTTTTTAACATTGGTTAAAAGCAATATGTTAACTATTTAACTAGACCTTTTTTCTTTATTTCTTGCCTAAACAACAAAGTCATTTTTCTTTAAATGTAACATAAAAAATTTTGTTCTTATTGGATTGTTTAATATATTTACATAACAAGAATAGATATTGCATACTGATGAACTGTATCAAATTAATGAAATAAAGGTACCTTTTGATTTAGAAAAATGAAAACTAAAGAACTGATTTGTTTGTTTGTTTGCCATAGGTTCATATATTTGCTGGAGACAGAGACAGACAGGAAAAGTGAGAAATCACCACTCTGGAGAGGGCCACACCACAATCCCTTTTCCTCCATTTTTTTCTCCCAATTTCGGGCATGCATGCATATATGCCTGTCTTGTTCTAGCTGCTGGGTCCAGGACTCAAACCATGCAGTCAGCCATGTGGGATGAAGGCACCATAACCACCATGCCGGTGGTTGGCCCCAAGAACTAATTTTTTAAAATTTATATTCAAACATATGCACATACCATATACACATGCAAGAAGACTTACGTGAGTTCATGAAAAATCGTGACCAGCGAATGACATAATGATTACGTCGCTGGACTCCCTCATAGTTGACCATGGTCCGAATCTTGGACCCAGGGACTTAAAACTCATGCCAAGCACATGTATGTGCATGCGCAAGATCCTAAGAGAAGAATGGAAGAGAAGGGATTGTGGTGTGACTACCTCCCCTGGAGGGTGATTTTTCTTTCTGTCTCTGGTGAGTGCATGCATCCTATAGCAAAAATTGCTTCAAAAAAAAAGAAGAAAGTTCTTGAAAAATGGAATTAAAGTAAGAGTTTATTTCAATGGAAAAAAATTCTGAAATCTGTGCATAATTTTTCATAGTACACATCTTCCATGAACTTTTTATAGGTCCCCGTGTGTGTGTGTGTGTGTGTGTGTGTGTGTGTGTGTGTGTGTATTTAAATGCATAAATCAGACCTGAAGTTTTTGATAATCCAGAACAGATATTATTTCTAGAGCTATTTTATTTTTCAAAAATAAGAAATAGCCCTAAGTGTTACTAAGTTTACTTAGAAATGTTAAGAAACTAATGAATGTAGCACATTTCTTTTAAGGGATTCCAAGGTTGGATGGCTGTCCTCCTTAAATCTCTTTAATTATGTTGTGGATGAATATGTTCTTTAAGACATTTTATCTTATAGAATCTAGATAAACATGTCAGCACTCCAGTTTACCGTATCATTCTTCTGTTGATAGTCGCAGTGCACTTTAGAGTAGCATAATGAAAAAGCCAGGAAATGTAAACCATTAGTGAACATCCCTCTTTCTTTTCTCATTTTCGATCTGTAATTTTTATTCTGAAGAATTTTCAGGAAAACTTAAAGAATGCTGCCAATAAGTGAATTAATAATATAAGCTATAACAAACATGTCTGTAAGCTATTTTATGGTTTATCTAAAACTTTTTGCTTTATATTTATCCTTTTTTTTAATGAATAGAGTCTGGACCTTTATAGGTATAATACCTGTGAACTCTTCTGTTTTATTTATTGATATTTAAAGTTTTTCAATGTAAAAACATTTATTTCCTAATCTAGATTCCAGTTATATAACTTAAAATGGAAGTATACTTTCTGATCAATGTATATTTATTCAACTAAGCAAAAGTTTAACTGACATTATACTATCTTTAGTTCATAACATCTTATTCATACATGCTTTTCATCTTGTTGGCATTTTGTTAATTACAATTTAATTTTTAAAGGAAATAGCTTATCATTTCCTAGTGTATAATACTTGTTAATATATAAATTTAATTTCCTCAATTTTTTTTTTTCTTTATAGATAGTTGGTTGCCACTTTAGGTCTATTCCAGTGAATGAAAAAGACACCTTAACATATTTCATCTACTCAGTGAAGAATGACAAGAACAAATCAGATCTCAAGGTTGATAGTGGTGTTCACTAGGAGAAATGGAATTGAGACTAAGACTTGGATGCTCAGATGTTAAGACTGTTTACTGTTTTTTCACATGTAGAAATGTTCCTTGTGTATTTTTTCTACAGAGGTTTTCTCTGGTTTTATTTTCATTGTTTCTGACTCTAATAATTAGTTGGAAACTCATGTGAAGTGAGCTTTCTTAGATTAATAAATATTTTAAATAAAGGTTATTATAGTTGCTTCAGCGTATTTATTTTTGTGAAACTTGATTTTTCTTTTCTTTTAAGCAGACTTTCAGAGATCAGTATTAATTGAAATTTTAATGTAAAGGTCCATCATTTCATAACTTTTTTAATTCCAAGACACTAGTAGCTTAAGAAGAAAGAAATAGAGCACATTTGCTTTCTCTGGGACAATTTTAAATAGTAGCATTTTTTTTTTCTTTTTTTGGAGAGGTTTTTGCTATAGGGCGGGTGCGCTCGCCAGACAGATAGAGACAGAGAGACAGAAAGTGAGAAATCACCCCCAGGGGGGATGGCCACGCTGCAATCTCTTCTCCATTCTCCTCTCGGGATCTTGGGCATGCATGCACACGCGCCCGGCGTGAGTTTAAGCCGCTGGGTCTGGGACTCGAACCACAGTCAACTACATGGGAGTCCAGCGACATAGCCATTATGCTAACTGCCAGTCCCAAATAGTATTTTAAAAAGTGCATTATAGTGATCAGCCAGTGGTGTGGTGGTTGAGGAGCTATACTCCCACATAGCTGACTGCAGTTTGAGTCCTGGACCTGGTGGCTTGTTTTCTCGCTTTGCCTCTCTTTCTTCCTCTCTCTGGTTTGTGCATGTGCCCTATAACAAGTTAAAAATAATAATTATTAATAAAATTAAATAATTTTTAAAGTGCATTATTGTACTAGCAGATATAAAAAATAGACTCCTGGAGACAGCAGATTGCATAGTGGTTAAGGCGCTGAACTCCCACATGGCCAGCCACAGTTCAAGTCCTGGACATGGTGACTTGAAACACTCCAGTCAAGTGTGCACATGTTCCCAAAATTCCAAGAGGAAAATGGAGGAAAAGGAATTGCAGTATGGCCATCTGCCCTGAAGGGGGTATGATTTCTCACTTTCCCTCTCATTGTCTTTCTTTTTCTCTGTCTCCTGCAAGTGCATGTGTCCTATTGCCAAAACCTTAAAAATAAATAAATAAATAAATAAATAAAATAGACTCCTACCAGAATGTAACTTTTTTCTTATTTTCTTTATTATTATTATTATTATTATTACTTGATGAACTACCAGGAAAAACAAATAGTTTATATGCTTACCTCCTTCTAAAGGACACTTAATGTGCTAGCAAAGATAAACACAGTGCTAAAAGTTGAAATAATGATGAATTAAGTAGTTGTTTCTTACATTTTTGTCTTACAGAAAAGATATTGATATGGTAGGAATATAGAAAGTACCTCTGCAGGGGCCAACCAGGTGGTATAGTGGTTGAGACAACTGGATCCCAAGTGACTAAGTCTGTGATTCAAGTCCCAGACAGCAGCTTGAAAAACATACTGGGTGCACGTGTGCATGCCCAGAACACCGAGAGGAAAATGGAGGTGAGGGGACTGTGGAGAGGCCATCCCCCCAGAGAGTAATTTCTCCCTTTCCCTCTTTTCCCATCTCCTGCAACCACACTTGTCCTATAGCAAAAACTAGAAAAGAAGAAAATATCTCTGCAGTGCCCATTAATTTTCAATCATGTCCTATACTATTTTCATTGCAAATTAAAACTGATAAGTTGGAGAGCTCTAAATAATTAACAAAATCTTCATTTAAATTTTGGTCGTAACTCTGACTTGGTTTATATTTCTCTTCTATGTTTCATTTTATCAGGTTTCTCTTTTTCTTTCCTTTTTTAAAAGTTCTTTCATGAAAGACAAAATCAGGGATTCCCAGTTGGGTTTTGTCATAACAAGACCTTCCCCGGTTCAACAAGGATCATGGTGCATGCACCTATGGGTGCCCCTGGTGTTCAGGTCTATCCAGAATTTGAACCCTGAGCCTTGCCATACCATACCACTTTAAAACTGCCAAACATTTTTAATCTCTGCTTTTCATGAAATTATATGGCTTAGCTAAATTCTTGTTATTACCAGTCAAATTTATAGCTTGTGACATTAAAACAAAGAAACAAAAAACCAGCCTCAGTGAAGCGTTCTGAGATTGTGCTGGAGATTTTAGGCTGGAAGTGGATGAGACCAGTCATGGAGCTTGTGGTTTCTCAAGGCTGACATTTGGAGCTGAGAATTCTTTGTTGCGGGAAGCTGTCTTGTAAGTGTTGTGTTGTCATCTGTTTAGCAGTATCCCTACAGTCCACTCTCTAGGTTCCAATAACTCCCCCAAGAAGTGACAACTCAAACATTGACAAACATCCCCTGCAAGTACAAAATCACTCTTGTATTGAAAACCATTGCTGTAGTTAGAGTACTACATCTCAAGTACTGATCATTAGAAGACAAGTCAGCATAATTTGAAGTGTTCTGAGTGTATTGACTAAAAAATACAATAAGCAATAAAGCAATTGATCTTTGCTCTTACTAAGGCCATTTAAAGATGTATTTGCTATTTATTGATAAGCAGAGACTATAATAATCGATATTACAGAAATCATTTTTCTTGTATTTCAGAAATGCCTATCAGAAGATTTTTTCTTAGCTACATGAAAATGAACCACATAGCTATAAAATACCCTAATTTATTTGAAGAAAATATTACTTCCACATTTTATATTTTTACCTAAATTTATACACTATAGGTCACGTGTGGCTCACTGGAGAGACTGAGACAGAAAGCAAGAAATCACCTTCCCAGGGGGATGACCACTCCACAGTCCCTTCTCCACTCTCCTCAGGATTTTGGACACACATGTACATGTGCCTGGTATGAGTTTTAAGCTGCTGGTACCAGGGATTCAAACCACAGTCGTGGGAGTCCAGAAATGTAACCATTAAGCCATCTGCTGGTCCCTAAACTTACTTTTTATGTAATAACTTGATTATGGACTTAGTTTTTTTTTTTCTTTTTATATAATGCATACTCCATTTTGTGGCAGGAAGAGCTTGAACTTACTTGCTTACATTAAAGTGTCTTTCTTATGTACATAACTTTTAATTGGCAATGTTAGTTTTATATCATAGTTATTTGCACAGTAAAAATGAAAGAGTAAGAGGTCTGGGTGGTGAATAGTCAATATAATTAAATCCTTGTTAGAGGTATTTAAAACATGAAAAAATGTGATATAAGTTGAAAACATACAGAACTTTGAAGTCAAGTAACACTAGAAGCTGCAATGTAAAAATCAATTTTATATGAATATTTTAATTCTTTGCTTATAAATTTATTATAAACCTTTTTCTTTACTTATGTTTGTACAAAAAAGCAATGGAAACTTATCTCTAAAAAGGTACAGTTTACTTTTAATGTAGGAGCGTCTGGAAAAGAATTCAATTTGATTGTCATTGTAGTAAGAAAAGGACTGCATACTGAATTTTTGTGTGGGAGGCACTCAAAAACTAAGTCAGTATTCTGGTAACTAACTTTGAAAAAAAGGCTAAAAATTAACCCCTAAAATGCATTTCTTTAAAAAAATACATTGTATGTTAACATCTTTAAAACTGAGGGTAGTTTTATATAAAATACAATTAACTATTTTAAACTGTACAATGTGGTGGTATTTAGTGTATTTGTAACATTGTACAACCTCCAGCTCTTAATTTCAAAACTTTTTCATTACCTCACAAAAACAGCCATATGTTTCCTTTCCCCATTCCTCCCCTTTCCAATCCCCTGGAAACCTTTAATCTGTTTTTTATCTCTGTGGGTTTGCCTGTAATGAAAATACCATATAAAAGAAATCATACAATATATGCCTTTTTATATCTAGGCTCTTATTCTCAGCATGGTGTTTTGTTTCTATTGTAATTTCTGGTTTGTATATAATCATTGCACAGTTTCATGAAGTAGAGTGTGATTTTTTTTAAAGCATGTATACATTATGCAATAATCAAATCAAGGACATAAGCATATCCACCATTTTCAACATTTACATCACATCTTCAGCATTTAACATTATATTATGTTATGTGCATTTGAAAATACCTCTACTGCTTTGTTTGGAAATGGAAAGACAGTATTTGTATTTCATAGCCTGATTTATTTTATTTAGCAATATATCTTCTAGGTTCATCCATTCTGTCTAAAATCACAGGAATTCATCATTCTTTATTACTGAGTCCCCGTCCATTGTGTATATATGACACATTTTAAAATTTATTAATCAGTTTTGGGGTATTTCCTTATGAATAGTTATGTTAAAACTTTACTTCATATATTTTTTGTCCATTTGTATGTCTTCGATGTGCAAATCTCTCTTGAACAGGTTTATTTACTATCCTTTGAGTATATACCCAATAGTGGAATTATTATAAGTAGTTCTATTTTTAGACTTTTGAGGGCTCTACATACTATTTTCTGCATTGGCCGTACTAATTTACATTCCCACCAGCAGTACACAAGAGTTTCCCTTTCTCCACAGCTTTGCCAGCACGTGTTAGTCTTTGATCATAGCCATTCTGACTAGGGTTAGATGATACTTTATTGTGGTTTTGATGTGTATTTCCTTATGAATAGTTATGTTAAAACTTTACTTCATATATTTTTTGTCCATTTGTATGTCTTCCTTTTAAAATTGTCAAGATCAATTGCTCATTATTTAATTGGACTATTTTGGTTTTTGTTGGTGAACTGTTTCTTATAAATTCTGGTTATCGATCACTGTCAGAAGTATAGCTTGCAAATATTTTCTCCCATTATGTGGATTGTCTCTTTACTCTTGATTGCTTCCTTTGCTGTGAGGAAGGTTTTTTAGCTTAATGTAATCCCCCTTATCTAGTTTTGGTGTGGTTGTCCATGCTTTAGAAATCTTCTCCTAAACCAATGTCTTCAAGCATTTTCCCTGTGCTTTTGTCAGGTAGTTTTATGATTTGAGTTTTACATTTAAATCTTGAATCCATTTTAATTAATTTTTGTATATGATAAGACATAGGAGTCTAGTTTTAATCTTCTGCTGATGGATATCTAGTTTTCCGAGCACCGTTTATCAAAAGGACTTTCTTTTCCCCCTAAAATCAGTTGGCTATCTGTTCTTGGATTTATTTCTTAATTCTTTGGTTTGTTCCACTGTTTTTGTGCCAGCACTGTTTTGGTTATATTGACTTTGTAATACATTTTGAAGGCAAATAGTGTGAAGTGTGCACCTTTATTCTTTTTACTCAGTATTGCTTTGCTACTTGGAGTCTTTGGTGGTTTCAAACAAATTTTATGATTTTTCCATTTTTGTGAAGAATGTAATCGGTATTTTTAAAAGGATTTCACTGAATTTGTCGATCATTTTGCATAATATTGACATTTTTGCATAATATTGATATTTTATTTTTATAATTCATGAACAAGAATTTTTCCATTTATTGTGTATCTTTTTAATTTTCTTTCCTTAGTATTTTTTAAATATATTTCATTGTAGAGATCTTTCATCTCTTTGTTAAATTTTATCTCTCAATTTTTTATTGTTTTTGTGGCAATTGTAAAAATGATTGCTTTCTTCATTTCTATCTCAGCCTGTTCGTCATTAATGTACAAAGACAGCATGGTGTTTTGAGATTTGTCCACATTGCATTATATATCAAGACTTTATTCCTTTTTGTGGCTGAATATATTTCATTGTATCTGTATACCACAATTTATTTATTTCTTTGTCCATTAATGGACGGTGGGTTTCCACCATTGACTATTATGAATAATATTCCTATGAACATTCATGTACAAGGTTTTCTGTGAACAAATGTCTTCATTTCTCTTGGGTATATAGCTAAAAGTGGAGTTGCTGAGTTATACAATAAGTCTATATTTAACTTTCTGAGGACTTTCCAAACTTTTTACGTGGTTACACCATTTTACATTCCCACCAGCAATGTATGAGGAGGTCTACTTCTCTAATTCACTAACATATTTTCTTTTTCTGTTTTTGTTTTTAATTAAAGCCATTCTACTGGATATGATGTGGTATCTCATTGTGGTCTTGATTTGTATTTTTGTAATGATCAATAATATTAAATATTTTTACATGTGCATATTGATCACTCATATATCTTCTTTGGAAAAATGTTCAAGTCCTTTATTCCTTTTTTTTAAATTGGGTTGTTTATCTTTTGGTAGTTGAGTTATTTATTCTGGATACTTAACTCTTACCAGATATATGATTTGCATATTACTTTTCCCATTCTTTAAGTTGCCTTTTCACATTTTTTATAGCTTTTAAAATTTTCATTCTTTGTCTATTCCATGAATGAGACAAAGAGACAACACCTCCAAATGGGTCTCAACACTACAATCCAGCCTTCAGCTTCAGCTAGCTGGATTATGGGCATACATATGTAGCATACTTAAGGAGGTCTGTTGATGTGAATTGGCAACCTTCCATGTAAAGCTGCCTTGTAAAGTATCACATTCTGCCCCAGCACTACCATCCAGACCCAATAACATTCTTTGATGTACAAAATTTTTAATTTTTATGTAGTTCAGTTTATCTATTTTTGTCATTGCTCATATTTTTGGTGCCAAATCCAAGAATACATTGCCAAATCAAACATCATGAAGATTAATGACTATGTTTTCTTTTTAGGAGTTCTATAGTTTTAGCTCCCAATTTAGATTGTTGACTCACTGTGAGTTAATTTTCATGTATGAAGTGAGGTAAAGGTCCAACTTCATTTTCTTGCATGTGTTGGCCAGTTGTCCTGGAATCATTAGTTAAAGAGACTATTCTCTCTTCACTGAACGATTTTGGCATCCTTGTTGGAAATCAGTTGGTCATAACCTTTGGGTACTCTCAATTCTATTCCATTGCTTTATATGTCTGTTTTCATGCCAGTACTATTATACATTCTTTTGACTGCTGTAGCTTTGTAATAAGTTTTGAAATCAGGAAATGTTAGTCTCTCTATTTTTCTTTTCCAATATTGTTTTGGTTATTCAGGGACCCTTGCAATTTCATATAAATTTGAGGATTGATTTTTCCATTTTAGCCCAAAGGACCATTATAATTTTGATAAGGATTACATTGAATCTGTGGGCAGCTATAAGACTGAATTACGACTTCCTTAAAATTGTTTGGTCCAGCCCAGTAGCACTTATTTAACACTGAACAAATACCAGATAGTGTTCTGGATGTGATCTGCAGAAACCCCCAAGGATGTATTTCAATGAAATAATGTTACTTTTATTCACAATGTTATATCTCCTAGATTACCTATATGGTATGGTATTTCTCAAAAATTTTCCCCATAGTACCTTTTTTTCCTCTCTTAATTTGGTAGAGGGCATGTATCCTCACACAAGAGAGACAGAGAAAGAGAAAGTGAGAAAACAGCCCTCCATGGGGATGGTCATACAGCAATCCCTTCTCCATTAATCCCTCCTTTTGAGATTTGGACATGCTCACACACACACATGGTGTGTCTCTCAAACTGCTGGGTCCAGCACTCAAACTGTGAATTCAGCCAGTGGATTCAGCTACCATGCCACAGGCCAGCAGCCCCCTAGTCTTTTGTCTAGCATCCTATACTTCTCTGTTGCAAGCTTCACATTTATAAGTAGTTGTTTATGGTTATTACACCTTTGTTAGAACACAAGCCCCAAAGAACAGATCCATCTTATTCATTACTGTAGTCCCAAAGCTTAACAATACCTAACACTTGGCAAGCATTTCATTCATTTATACAGCATGAAGGATTTTCTGAAATTACCTCTGATGGTCACTGTGAGTCGATGCGTACTGAAGATATGAGTGCATAGTACAAGGCTATATCTAACAATCAGAACACATCTTTGAAAGTATTCATTTTACTTACTTTTAAAATTTATGTGACTTTTAAATTCCCACCCACTATCTGCTTCTTTTCATGTGTGTTTTGTTATTCTCAAGCATTGATATTTCACAGATATGTATCATGGTTTTATGGATAAAGCTATGTGTGAATGTGTGTAGTGTATGAGCTTTGGACTTGGAATGCTATTCAAATTCTGCTATGATTATTAACAAATAATTTAAACTTAAATTAGATCCCAAAAAATGGGCCAGAGAATAGTTACCTTGAATGTTAATTGTTTTATATAATAAGAATGAGATAAGAGGCTAGCCAGTGGCATAGTGGTTGGTTTGCAGTTCAAGTCTCAGACCTTGTGACTTGAGGAATGTGCCAGGGTGCAGGTGAGTGCTAGACCAAAATCCTGAGAGAAATGGAGGGCAAGGGATTGCAGCATGGCCATTCCCCCTGGGGTGTTTTCTCACTTTCTCTCTCCCTCTCCCCCATGAGTGTGCATGCCCTATACCAAATTTAAAAAAAAAAAAAAAAGAGTAAAGTAAAAATGTGCTTAAAGTACACCTAACATACACTCAAGTCTTGGTTCTCTTTTTTGTTCTTACTAGAAAAACTCTAGTTTTCCTTCCAAGAACTTTTATTTATACCTGGTTCCTTCCATTAAGTATAAACAGTCTGTAACAATAAACTAAGAAATAAAGGTGTTCTCAATCTTGAAGACAGGACTATGACTCTTCACCTGGAGGACAGAATTCTTTTACTGAGTTTGTGAACATCTCATAGATAAATTTTTTCTTGCCAAAAAATTAAAGCATGCCAACAATGTCCACAGGGAAAAATTTAATGGAATTAACTTTTATTACTACTTCTTTAAGATATGTTTATTTGTCCTAGACAGCTAAGAATTGGTAGAATGTGTGTTTTATTGCACAGAATAGAAGCTAGAAATGCAGTTACGTTAACATAGTGCAGATTGTGGTAAATTAGGGATGATATTCTTCGGAATATGTGAGGATTCTCAGTGATTGTTGCAAGGAATCACAAAAGAGATCTTTGGTCCAAAGAAGATATCTCTGAAAGAAAGTAGAACATCAGTCAAATTCAGCTGAAAGCTAAGGTATGTGTTAGTCTTTTCTGGATTAAACATGGACAGTGATTTCCAGGATTTCAGATATGACTATTTTTTTTAGGTGACTAGAGTACAGAGATGGGTGGAAGGATTTGCCTTAGGAGCAGCAAAGACCAAGAAGGTAACCCATTCTTCTATTAATACACCCCCATTCGCAATTGGTATTAGGCTACCATTTATCTATAAAGAAAGATTAGGTAATTTCAAAACTTTATAATCATACCTAAATTTTTATTTCTCTTTATATGGTTATGAGCCATAAAAAATCTTCAGGAGAGTAACAAAAGATTAAAAATTTCTTAGAAAGTCATTAAGTACTTTTCTAGGTTTTATAAGGAAAGGATTAATGTTTAAAAGTTACTCAACTGGGACCAGCAGATGGCATAATGGTTATGTCACTGGACTCCCATGTAGTCAACCATGGTTTGAGTCCCTGACCCAGTGACTTAAAATTCATGCTGGGCATGTGTGCGTGCATGCCCAAAATTCCCAGAAGAGAATGGAGGAGAAGGTATTGCAACAGGCCATTCCCCCGAAGGGTGATTTCTTGTTTTCTCTCTCTTCGTTTCTCTCTTTTTCTCCAGGAGAACCCTATAACAAAAATCTCTATAAAGAAAAACATATAAAGCTACCCAACTATTTCCTGGTTGGGGAGATCACATAGTATAATGTGCACAGTGCACAAAATAATATAAAATAGCATGTATATATAAAGAATTATTATGATTATGACTTACTAGAAATATGCTAAGATAAATCTTTTGACCTAGGAAAACAGTATCCCAAAATCAAAGAGAATTTAGTTATGGGTATCCATACTGTTGTTCTCATGCATAAACACAGATAATCACAAAATTTTATCATAAAGTAAATACAAGTCTATTTCAGTAAATTGATTTCAAGTCATATATTAACAAAAAAAGAAAACATGGTATTTTAATATTGGTTGGCATTTCATTTATGTAGTCAAGGAAAAATTGAATCATTTTGTGGGATGAATTAACTAGAGTTCTTCTTGTCATAGTTTAGTACAGAGATTCTCATACTCTAGCATAGAGAATTTGTTAAAATTCTAATTGCTGCTGGGGCTAGCAGTGGTGTGGTGGGTAAGGTGCTAGACTCCCACATGGCCAACCATGGTTCGGATCTCAGACCTGGTGGCTTACTTTCTCACCTTCCCTTTCTCTCTCTCTCTGGTGAAATTTGAATAAATAAATAATTTAATTTAATAAATAATTCTTGTTTAAAAATCTGATTGCTGGGGTCCAGTATGGTAGTTAAGGCACTGGGTCCCACACAGCCAACTCTGAAGTTCCAGTCCTAGACAGGATCTGCAGCTTGCACTCCTGGCGCATATGTATGTGCCTGCCCAAAGTTCTAAGAGGAGAATGGGGGAGAAGGAATTGTGGCATGACCACCCCCCACTGAGAGGTGATTTCTCACTCCCTCTCTCTCCATTTCTGTCTTTCCAATGAGTACACACACCCTCTGAAGACTAAAACAAAACCCAATTGCTGGGCCACAAGTCCAGTTTCTGACTTGGGAAGACTGGAGTCCTCTCAAGAAGGATATATACTTTTAGCAAGAACTCATGCTGAAAGTACTTTTCTAGGAACCACATGCTGAGAACCAAGTGGTAGGGGGAAAAACAAAATCTAGACCAAGTTAGAATACCTAGGTTCTGGGAACCAGCAGTTAGCATAATGGCTATGTCGCTGGACTCCCATGTAGCCAACCGCAGTTTGCGTCCCGGACCCGGTGGCTTAAAACTCATGCTGGGCGCATGTATGTGCGTGCCCAAGATCCCAAGAGGAGAATGGAGGAGAAGGGATTGTGGCATGGCCATCCCCCCTGGGGGATGATTTCTTGCTTTCTGTCTCTATGTCTCTCTCTGGCAAGCGCACGCGCCCTATAGCAAAAATCTCTCCAAAAAAAAAAAAAGAACACCTAGGTTCTAGTCCCATTCCTGATATCAGCTAGTTATGTGGTATAGTGCTGGTTATTTCAACTCTGCATCTTTAGATGGTTGTATCTGCTTTTTCTATCTCACAGGTTTATTAGAAAAATCAAAATATGATGGTTTATGTTGAAAGTAATTTGAAATAACTAATTTCAGTATGAACTATTCAAGATCATAGTATTTAAAGATTCTTCAATAACCAGAGGAAAGTGATTTTAAAATCAAGAATGAAAAATATTTACTGATTTTTCTACCACTGTTCTATACTTAAAATACACCTACTTTTCAGGTCAGTAGGAATTTGTTTTGACCTTTTACTCAGTTTATATCTGATTAACTAATACATGAAACCAGAACATTTTTCTTTGACTATTACTAAATTTTTCAGTCCTCGTATTTGCTTAATGCCATTCATTGGAATCTTTCATCTAAAGTCTTTTGTTTTTGAATTGGTTCAAGCTGGTAGCCTTAAGGTTGGCTTCTACTGGGACCAGCAAACAGTGTAATGGTTAGGTTGCTAGACTCTCACATAGTCAACTGCAGTTCAAGTCCCAGACCCAGTGGCTTAAAACTCATGCCATCACATGCTCTATGGCAAAAATCTCTCAAGAAAAACCAAAAGCCAAAAAAACTCATGCCGGGCATGTGTGCATGCATGCCCAGAATCCTGAGAGGAGAAGTGATTGTGATGTAGCCATCCTCCCTAAGGGGTGATTTCTTGTTTTCTGTCTCTCTGTCTCTCTCTGTCTCTCTGGTGAGTGCACTTGCCCTAGAGTAAAAATCTCTCTTAAATAAAAAGTTTAGCTTCTGGTAATGGTAATTTTTTTGTGAGGTAAAAATTGGATGAGGAAATTATAATTTAATAGATTAAAGTGTTATTCACTTTCAGAATTTCATTTAATTTTGTTAAACTCTGCCAAACTCTGTTTCTTAAATAAACACACTGTTCAGTTTCTTACACACTGGTGGTGATTCTAAAAAAAAAAATAGCTGGGCTTTAAACAGGATTTTACTAAACAGGATGATTAATTTCAGCAAAGCCTTATGAAGGAGTTATCTCTAGAACAGTTGCTCTGGATACATTTCATAGAATACATTTTGTGTTTCATTTTCTTACTTTGGGCAGCAGAGCAATTCACTGAAATTGCAGTAACAGATCATTTCACATCCCTTTCCATCCCAGAAATGATCCTGGACGTTCACATCAACTGGTGTCAGGTCAGCTACTCCTTCTGGAAGGTTGTGACAGTTGCGATCTTTTAGTATCTTTCTGTAGCAAGAGAGGCGATTTGCAGGTATGGCTTGGGCTCCAAGCAGCAAAGTTAGCCCAACAGTGACAGTCAGTACCATAAATTTCATTTTGGCTTTAACCCTGAGATAGAAGAAAAAAAAACAAAATATGTCAGTGTTTGTTTTTTTAATTATTTTATTTAAATTTATTGATTTATTTTAATCTGACTGGAGAGGGATAAACAGAGAGAGGGCAAGCAAGAAAGCAAGCTGCCAGGTCTGAGACAAACTGTGGTTGGCCATGTGAGAGTTCAGTGCCTTTAACCACCACACCACCTGCTGGCCCTAGTATTTGCTATTTAAAATATGAAATTCATCTGAATACAAAGTTCTGTAGCATTGTCATTAACTCCTGGATAGATAGAATGAGAGTTTTGGTCTTTTCTATACTCCTCTTTGTGTTTTTCACAGTGTAGTTTTATGACCATCTACTATTAAAATCACTTGAAATATTTGTTACAAATCAAATGCCTGAGCTCCACAAAAAGATATGGAATGAGAAATTCTGGGGATGGGATGGTGGTGAGAGCCTAAATATATATTTGATAAGCACCTAAAGTCATATAGAGAAAACTGGTTTGTAAGGTGATATAAACTCAGATAAATTTCTAGAGCAATTAGTGTGATCAAATACAGTGCTTCTTAAAAAAAATACAGTGGTTCTTGACCTTGCATACTTTATATCCTAACAATAACATTGTCAAAGAATCTGGGTCTCACCTTGAAAGAAACAAACATTGACAGATGATATTCTATAAATAGATTTATCAGTGAAATGAACCTCTGTCTCTTTTTTCTTTAGGCATATAAACTACAATGTTCTTTAACAAATAAGGCATGTACACTCACCAGAGAGAGGCAAAAAATGAGAAATAGTCTCCCCTACCCCCAGGGATGACCATGACACAATCCCTTCTCCACTTTTCTCTTGGGATTTGGGGTATACAAGCACATGCCCCAGGCATGATTTTTAACCTGCTAGGTCTGGGATGCCAACAGTAGTGTCGGCCATGTGTGATTCTGCTTCCTTAACCTCCATGCCACCTGCTGGCCCTCTACATTTATTTTTAAGACTCATCCTTGTTGCCAATTTTTGGCAATGTTTTGATTTTTTTTACAGGTTTTTCCGTAGTGCATATGCACTTGCCAGAGGGAGACAGAGACACTGAGAGGGAAAGTGAGAAATCACCGCCAGGGGGATGGCCACACCGCAATCCCTTTTCTCCATTTCTGGGATTCGAGGCACACATGCACACATGCCCAGCGTGATTTTCAAGCCACTAGGTCTGAACTTGAATCACAGTCAGCCTTGTGAGTATCCAGCGCCTTAACCACTATGTTACCTGATGGCTCTGTGTTTTGAATTTTTATTACACATGGACTACTTCTTTTTTTTACATAGCACTTTTTAAAAATTACTCATTATTATTATTATTTAATTTGCTATAGGGCATGTGTGCTCACCAGAGAGAGAAAGAGAGAGAGAGAGAGAAAGAGAGAAAATGAGAAAGGATACTACCAGGTCTGGGCCTCAAACTACAGTCAGCACCACATGGGCTACTTCTTAGCTGCAGTCAAAAACAGAGGCTTGATTCCACCTTATAATCATTTAGCCTGTCTTGGAACACCTACCACGATGGAGAACTCATTATTGACTAAGCCAGCATATTTCATTTCTATAGTACCAACCTTTCCCTCACTTTGAAATATTTTCCTGTGGTATCCACTCACCAGTTCTAGTTCTGGGGATCATACCAAACAAGCCTAATTCCCCTTTCAGGAGATAATTCTTCAAGTACAGTATTTGCATACAACCATGGAATATTTGCTATCTATTTCATCATATTTCTCTGGCTTCTATAATAGACATGAGGAAAATGGAGGCTCCTGTAGTTATGGAATAATGGCAAAATAATGGAAGAATAAGAACTAGAACCCACAGCCATTCAGGTTTCTTCTTGACAGATCCCCTAATGGAAAGAGGGAGGGACAGATAATAGATATTTTTCTTTGCATATTGTATTTTGAAAGAAAACTACACACACACACACACACACACACACACTCACATATATGCAAATTATTATTACTATCATATAGCATGGATATATCCCCAGAGGATCCATACTCACCTGAGACAGAGAGAGGGAAAGGAGAAAGTATGCCCGCATGGAGAATGGTCATGCCACAGTTTCTTCTGTCTTCCTCTCCTGTCAGAATTTTTGGCACACACACATGTGCCCAATATGTTCCTCAAGCCATCAGGTCTGAGACTTGAACTGCGTGGTTGGCCGCGGAGGATCTAGCTACCTTAATTACCAGAACGCAGAGCCAGCCCTCTTTATATGTGTGTAACTTCCGTAGATATTTGTGTGCGTAGTTACCATGGGTTTATATAAAATGTTATAATAGTTTATTTATTTTAAGAGAGAGATTTTTGCTATGGAATGTGTGTACTCAGCAGAGAAACAGAGAGACAGAAAGTGAGAAATCACTCCCTCCCCGAGAGAGACGGCCATGTTGCAATCCCTTCTCCTCCATTCTCCTCTAGAGATTTTGGGCATGCACGCACATGTGCCCAGCGTGAGCTTTAAGCTGCCAGGTCCGGGATTCAAAGTGTGGTTGACTACGTAGGAGTTTAGTGATGTAACCATTATGCCATCTGCCGGTCCTTTAATAGTTTATTTTAAGGTTATAAATCATCTATAAAACTCTATACTTAAGTTTCCTACCACCCTACTTTATGTTATTGATGTCACAATTTACACCTATTTATATTGCACATTCATAAACATATTTTAATTAGTTTTTTTTTTCATATTTTTGCCTGCTGACTTTTATGTTAGAAGTGAAAGGGACTTACTTACCACTGTTACAGCAATACAATATTTTGTATTTGTCTATACACTTGCCTTTATTAATGAGTTTTATATGATCTTATGCAGTCATGGTTAGTATCTTTTCACTTAAATTTGAAGAACTTTCTTTAGTATTTATTGTAAGGTGTATCTAGTAGTGATGAAATCTCTAAATTTTCTTTTAAAGGGCCAGCAGGCAACATAGTGGTTAAGGAATTGAACTCTCACAAGGCTGACTGCTATTCGAGTACTGGACCCGGCAGCTTGAAACTCACACTGGGCATGTGTGCGTGCATGTCCAGACTCCCAAAAGGAGAATGGAGAAGGGATTGTAGCATGTTCAACCCCCCTGGGGGTGTAATTTCTCACTTTGTGTCTTTCTGTCTCTCTGGAGAGAACACACATCCTGCAGCAAAAAAAAAAAAAAAAAACTCTTTCAAAAAATCCCAAATTTAATTTGTCTGGAAAAGTCTTTATTTCTCCATCATTTGGAAGGAGACTATAACTGACAGCTTTGCTTGGTATAGTATTCTGGTTGGCATTTCTTTTTCTTTCAACACTTACGTCATCCAACTCATTTCTGGCCTGCAAGGTTTCTGCTGGAAAAAAAAAAAAAAAATACTAGTGGATGCCAGATGGTGGCAGAGCAGTGAAATGCAGCACTCTGTGTGGTTGACCTGTATGGCAGAGTTCCATGTTTATGTTGGAGACCTCCCTGACTACACTGGGCACATACATGGCTATGGTCTAGGTCTGGCTGAGGCTAGGGATAGATTGTAGCACTAGGACCCTGTTGGAGGTGTGTTCTCTTTCTTTGTCTGTCTCTCTCTGTCTCTTGCTCACAGAAAATTAATATACTTTTAAGAAATGTTTTAAGACCAGCTAAACCACTTGTTGGTTGAGGAAGCCAGATTCTGCATAGCTAATTGCAAGGTTCAAATCCTGGCCCTGGCAGCTTGAAAAATAGGCTGGGTATATTCATGTGCATGGTCCACATCCTTTCAGGGTAGATTAATGGAGGAAAAACTATTGTAGTTTTACCACGCATCCTCATGGGGGAATACATTCTCCTTCCCCTTTTCCCTCTCTCCCTGTCTCTCTGATGAGTGTACATGCCCTCTGGCAAATAAAAACTGTTTAAAAAATCTACTGATAGCCTGATAAAGGTTGCTTTTTATATGACAAAGTACTTTTTTCTTATTATTTTCAAAATTCTGAATTTAACTTTTGACAATTTGATTATAATGTGTGGGATGGTTAGTTTTGAGTATCAACTTTACTGCACTAAAGAATACCTGAAAAGGGGCCAACAGGTGGCATGGTGATTAAGGTGCTGGACTCCCATATGGCTGACTGCAGTTCAAATTCTATCCCTGGTGGCTTGCTTTCTCACTTGCTCTTTCTCTCTCTCTTTCTCTCTCTGGTGAGTGCATGTGCCCTAAAACAAATTAAATAAAAAAATAATAATAATAAATAAAATTAAATAAATAATTCTTTAAAAAAATACATAAAAAACCTGCTAAAGTCTTACTCTGGGTTTATGCAGGGGGGGGTGCTTCCAGAAGAGATTAATATGTAAGTCTGAGTACACTGCCAGTGGAAGATCTGCCCTCAATGAGGGCAAGCACAGTCTAACCTACAAAGAGCTCAGAAAGAATAAATACAGAGGATGAGTGAGTCTCTTTTGGGAGAACAAGATAAAGTTCTTCTATTGCCTTGAACATTAGAATTAAGGCTTATCTGCTTCAGAATCCAGGATTTACACCAGCACACCTTTGGGTTCTTGGGCCTTCAGCCTTGGACTATGAATTTTATCATTGACTTCCTTGCCTCTGAGACCTTTGGATTTAGACTGAACCATGCTACTGTAATCCCAGGATCTCCACTGTGCAAATCGCCAGTTGGTGGGATTTCTCAGCTGTCATAATTTGCATGAGCTGACTTGCTCAATAAATCCTCTCTGATATATCTATATATATATCTCTACATAGCCTATTGGTTCTGTCTCTCTCTAGAGAACCTTGACTAATATAATATATCTCATATGGATTTCTTTGAGTTCTTCTTATTTGAGTCTTTTGGACCAGGGAATTGGGAAATTTTCAATCATATTTCTTTGAATGAGCTTTCTAGCCATTTTTCTCTTCTTTGAGACTCTCATTATACATATATTGGGTCTCTTGATAGTGTCTTATAAGTCCTTGAGCTATCTTCACTTTTTTAT